GATCTGGTGGTTCGAATTTTTCTATTCCGTACATAATTACATACATTATGGTTATTGGTAACCTATGTAAAAAACGTTGTTTAAGATCTGTTGTTGATCTGGTAGAAGAAATGTTAGACTTACAAAATTCACATTTAATATAAAGTTATTAAATAATGTAATACTTAATAAAAAGTACACCGATATTGTTTGAACCTTCTTATATATATATGTGTAAATTATTTGTTGATAGAGTAATTTTACCTAATATATACAAATTCATTAATTAGAAGAGTATTATTATATAGGATAACTTGGTTTAAATTTAGGACAATGTGAATAATACTTTGATTCATTACGATAATTCAAATTAATATAAAAATATATTATACATTAATTTAAATTTATGTTATGAAGTAATAAATAATTTTAAATTTTACAAAAAATTGTATAGTTGATGTATATAATAAATGAGTTTGATTTAGTAGTTGATTTATTAAAATTCATCATGGATTATAAATTATTTAGTAAAATAACTCTACTCATAAATGTAATTTTTCTTGATAAAGTCAATTGATTGGGATTAATTTTTTTCTAAAGAGTTGCACATGCGTCTTTTGATGCATAAAGTTCACAAAAAATTATATAATTAAAAAAGAAATCAATATATCAATTTTTAGCCAATGAACTTTTTCAAACTTAAAAAAATATAATATTTTACTCATTTTATTAAACTAACTTCTCGTTAATGTATTGCTTTTTTATTGAGATTGAATCTCGATTATAATTTGATATTCTTGTTTGTAAATAGATTTTTTCAATTCTTTTAGATTTGTATATATAGGACGATATTTTAATATTATTTAGAATTATTTTTTAAGTAGGTAAATTCACACACACAGGCCGATAATTTAGTATTATTTAGAATTATTCTTTAAGTAGGTGAATTCACATATAAGACGATGCTTCAATATTATTTAGAATTATTCTTTAAGTAGGTGAATTTACACACACATACAAGTTCGTTAATAAATTTAAATTTAATAATTAAATAATTGAAATTTAATATAAATTATAAATTATTGAATAACATAACTACAAAAAATTATTTTTAAAATAAGTGAATTCCTATTCATATAAAAATTACATTCCTTTATAATTTTCTACACATTCTAAATTTTATTATCATTAAGTTTTAAGTTTTTGTTGTGTAAAACAAGTTTATCAATATTTATAAGAAAAAATAGTCATGATCCTAAGTTGGGATGATATTATTATATATACATAACTCTTTTTTTTTTAACATATTTTTTATATTTTATAATTAGAATGTGAAGTATTTTTGAATTTTTTTAAGCTAAATAACTGTTACACTTATAATCAATATTTTGTTGTTAATTTTATTAATTTTCACATTAGTTTTAGTATGAAAATAACATTCTTGTGGTAGCAGATTTTTTTAATTAAAAAAAAACACATTACAAAAAATCTATTAATGAACAAATTAAAAACAAAATCCATGCTTATATACAAGGAATGAACACTAGAAATATCTATTAATACCAGGAATGCTGTCTAAGAAGGGGCTAACAAGAATTGCACCCACATCCAATGACATGGCCCTAGAGAGTCTCATACAGTTTAGGTATAGTTGGGACCATCATCATATCAATAGTGTGTTTGTGGCCACAAATTCAAAATCTTGATACCCAATTTTTGACATTCTTGCGTTGCACTCACAAACTTTAAACTTGTTCATTAGTAGCGTTAGAATGTCATAATTTAATAAAAGCTATAAATCTTTGTAATCTTTAGAAGCAAAATTGCGCATATGAGCATGTGACCGTGTAATAAACGCTTTGAATATGAACTGAGAAAACAGAATGATAAAGTTTTTGGGACCAACTTAACAAGAAACCGACAAAATAATCTCAGCTTTATTATTGAGGTTTGGCAAAGTTATTGTAACACGGTATGAACCAAATGTTGCATAATTTAGTACTTCATAAGAAGGACATACTATAGTGGCCGAGAGTGTTGTTCTTTCTCCCACACAAGTTTATGATGCCCATTACCCAGCACGTCTTTGCTTGTTGACTCCGCAACCAACAAAGAAAACCAAAAGGTCCATGCATTGCAAAAATTGAGTGGAAATGTAAGCGTTATACCAATTCAATTTAAATGTGCTTGAAATTTTAAATTTGGGATTTTCCATTGGAATCATCTCAAAAAATTGATAGAAACAAAAACACAGGACAATTCTATTTCATTATTATATATAATGCATATCGAATAACAAAATAATAGCACAATTTCTCTATTACAATAACTAAATTGAAAACAATATATATACAGTTTTGTTATTATAAAGAGACGATGAACCTACTCTTTATTTTTATTTGATCATATAGGAATTCAATTCCTTCATCCAAGATGGAAAGATAACTCTTATTCCCTTTTAATGTTTTTATGTTATTATAAACCCTCGCTCAAATAATATTGATCCAAGTTTTAAGTCATACTTATATAAGAAGATCAATGTCTTTGAAACATTCATCTTCATTGTAAACATGAAAATACTTTTTCTTAAAGTTGTCTTGGATTTGTTGAAGATAATTAACCGTGTGTTTGTATTTGCTTGAAAAATCGTGATTTTTGATGTTTAATCGGAAGGAAAAAATTGTAACTTCTCCGTAAATTGATAATTGGACGTGAAAAGAGATGAAGAATTTACGTTTCAAAATTGAAACCAAACACGCACTAAGAAGGTTTCAAAATTTGATCAAAAAGGAAATTAAATATAAGTGCATGACTAAAATTTGAAAACTTATACTAGATTTTTGATTAATTATATTAAGAGGCAATGTAAAAAAAAAAAACACTTTATATTCTTATACAATCAATTTGAAAAAAAGTGACATCATTTTAAATCTATAAAGTTTTCTCAATAAGCTATCTATAAAAAATAAAAAAAAAAGTATGACAACGAAGTTAAAACACTTAAAAATTTCAAAAGATACAAAGTTTGTGAACATTTTAATCAAATTGTACAATTGATATATACAGTCTTATTAGAAATGTCAAAAGTTACAAATGATGTCGATCCATAGTTTAGATCAATCGATAAAAATAAAAAAAAATAAAAAAACACCTTCTAGTTCAAATTTATTAAGAACTGGTATAAAAAATATTTTCTAAATCAACTTTTTTTATCAAGTGATCAAGAAATTAGACACATTTTATGGTTTCTGAAATCTCTAACATAACATTTACATTCTAGTTCATAATGAACCAGAGTTAGAGAATATTTTATATATCAATTTTCCAAACAACCAATTTACAATGTTAATATATAAAGTATTTTCTAAATCAGTTACATAACAATTGATATAATTGATTAGAATATTAAAAAATATTACCATTCACATTAGGCACATTTTTTTTTAAAGAATCGATGTAAATTTTTAATATGAAAAACTTTTTTGTCCTGCAAAATATCACCTAATTAAGAATACCCGGTGGAAAAAAAAAAAAAAAAACTCAGCTAGAACACCCATGTTATCCTCATAAAATGGCTATTGTAATCAGGAAAGTGTGTTCATATGATCATATTCTCAAGCTTACGATATAATTCTGTGACTGTGAGACTGCAGAAGGTTACACTTGTAAAAGAGATATAATTAGGATATTGTTTGGAGGACATAATTTCTTTTTAGCAATAATAGCAGCACTAATTGCTAGCACATGGTTGCATGAAAAAAGTATCACAAGGCAACAGAGGTAAATCAAAATGATGGTCCCTTTATAAGGAATGCTATTGCTAGCTAAATCCTGTCCATTATTTATAAAGCATTGATATAGTACATAGTGATTGCAATAGATATCTATCATTGCTAACCACCATTTGCTTCCTTAAAAGAACTAGTTTCCACCAACTAGATCCCTTCTGGTCGGTGCTAGCTTTACATCTTCAAGCAATTTCTTTTGTGGATCACAGTTCAAATCTAATTCAACTCAGTGCTCAATTTCTAATCAAATCGGACAGACCTTATTTATAAATATGATAAGTAACAAAAACGTGCATCTTCTATCTACTAAAATTTTTAGAGCATACTTCTATCACTAGTAAATCTCCTCACTTAAAATTTATTGTAAGGTCATGAATACTTAGTTTATCGTCTTGCTTATTAAATTATAATTTACTCGAAGGAATAGAACCACAAAAATAAAAATCTAACTCTTTAGTTAAAACTAAAAAGACCTTTATTATAAAATAAAAAAAAAATTGCTTTGAGATAAATAGTCATATCAGTTAAGTTTAATTATCCTTTTAATCTCTATAGTTTTATAAATTTATTATAACTCTTAAATAAATGATGAATATTTGACACTAATAATATGATTAGTAAGAATATATTTCATTTGATTATGGAATATATTAACGACTCAGTCAAATAACACATATTAATCACACGTATTGTAAGTATATAATTAAAATTGAGTGAAAAAAAGTATTAATAAATACACTAGAAAAAATAAAAAGACAAAGAATAGTTTTTCTAGTAATTTGAGTAAAAGTGAAGGAATACTTTGTGTTGTTAAGTTAAAAAAAGAAGACAGAGAGGGTTGATAAGTTGCTAACAATTATCGATGATGTTTATATTTATGTTCTACTTCTTTAACTTTTTACTTCAATTTTTTTATTTATTATTGTATCACATCATATATGAGAATTTTATAATTTTTCTTTTAACCCCAAAACGGGGTTGTCGTTTTTCAACATTGATTCTGATTTGTGCCAAGTGTCCATATTGGCACAGGAGAGAATGGAGGCCAGTTGAATAGTATTGTTTGGTGTGGGGTAACGAAGAGAGAAGAGAGTGTAATGTGTGGCTATGGATGAAGCTTTTTGTCCACTTTGGATGAGGAAAGTGGAGATAATGATTTTGCCTCATACTTGAAGATAGGAATGAAGGTGTGGTAAATCTTCACGACATTCCCTTCTCATTCCAATAAGATTCATTCACAACCAATGCCTTTTGATTCCGACACCACAATTTTGTGATTGTGGTTAGACTTCTTGCTAATATAACATTTATTTAATAAAATTTAATTATTAATATCAATATTGTAAATTTATAATAGCAATACGATATATTATATTGATAATTAGTTTTAAGTATAAAAATTAACGTGTTATTATATTGTTAACTAGTGCATTGACCCATGACATACACCGAACAATATTAAACTATTATTAATACAAAATATTTATTAATTTTATTGATTATTAATCTCCATTAAAGAATAATCTATTCAAATTAACGATTTGTTGTAAACTTATATTAATTGAAATTTAACTCAAATGTATTTCGTTCAATTATATTCGTAATGTACTGTAAGATTATTGATCTTTGTAATATTTTTTTTTTAAATTTATTTAAAATACATTTAATCGGTTGTCAGTTTTAAACAATTACACGATATTAGTACATAATTTCTTTTTAAGAGATTAGTACCTAAAAATTAAACTACCATAATTATATAAATGATATAATTTGTAATGGAAAATATTTATACTCTATTAGAAATTAATCAACATAAATTGTTAAAAAGGTAATTTTATTTAGAGCGAAAAGTCACGAAGTTGGAAGTTAGTGTTTCATAATTTGTTACTAAATGCAATTTATCTCTTTTTCTAGTAGCAATTTCAAGTTAGTTTCATTTAATGTAAATCTATATTACAAGGATGCATCATGCATATGACAGTTTGTTTGACCTTATTTTTATTTGCATTAAGAATATTTTCTAATTAATAGTTGAAGATTAATTTGTTTCAAAAAATTCTAAGAGTTTTATCTATAGTTTATATTCACGACTAAATAATCAAATCTATATTTTAAAAAAAATAACTATCTAATATTGCGTTGAAAATTTATTGATGTTACCTTTTTATATGTATTTAAAAGATTTAGTTAATTATCTTAAATTCTTAGGTGCAAACCTATAAGACATTCAAAGTACACCTCATTAGCCATTAAGTACAAATTTAAAGTTGGTACACATTTTTTCCGTCTAATACTTCTCCTAATTTGAACTTAGTAAAATTATAAAATGTTGTGTTAAATCCCACCTACTCATTAGCAAGAGTTTGGGAATTTCCTAATATATATATGAATATTTTTAATTGTGAAATAACATATGAGATGCAATTTTATTTATATAATTAAATTTAATATAAATAACTAGTTTTGATCACATAAATTATATTTTAAATTTATAATAAATAATTACTTCTTATATATTAAACATAAAGATTTATGTTACGTAAGAGTATTTTTTATAAAAAAATTTATGTGAAAATTTTTAGAAACGATTAAATTTAATATTTTTAAAATAAATTGTCAATAAATAAAAATAATATTATGATAATATGAATTTTTTTTATCATAAATCTAAAATATAATTTATGTATTCAAAAATATTTATTTATATAAATTTTAAATATGATTTAAACATTCAAACATAATATTTATTTGTATACATAATTTATTATAAATTTTAATTACATATAATAAATTTTTAGTTTGTGTATTGAACAAATTAAAATACTAGTTT